TGGGTCCATCATCAGTGGTGTCCAAAAATTGAAGATCGGGAGGGGTGAGAGGGTGGGCGTATGGAAAAGTGTGCTCATCGAAAACAACGTGACGAGAGATAATGATTTTGTTCGTTTGAAGGTCAAGACATCGATAGGCACGTTGATTCGAGGGGTAGCCGAGGAAGACACAACGAGAGGAGCGCGGTGCAAGTTTGTGTGGGGCGGTGGCGGAGATATTCGGGTAGCAAAGGCAACCGAAAACGCGAAGATGAGAGTAGTGTGGGGGAGAATTGTAGAGAACGGAGTGAGGAGTGCGGTTGTTTAATACAGTGGTGAGAGAATGTTGAAGAGGTGGGCGGCCATATAGAGGGCTTCCACCCAGAATTCAGGGGGAAGTTAGGCCTGGAAGAGGAGCGAACGGACGGTGTTATTAAGAGTGCGAATGGTACGTTCGGCGCGTCCGTTTTGTTGACTAGTATACGGACAAGAAAAACGGAAAAGAATGCCCAAGGAGTCAAAAATATTTTTAAGAGGCGCATTTCTGTATTCAGTTCCATTGTCACATTGAACAGATTTTATTGTTGTATTAAAATGATTTTTCACATATGTCACAAAGGAATTTAGGTGGGAAAAATTATCACTTTTATGTCTTAAAGGAAAACCCACAGATAATGAGAAAAATCATCTAATAGCAACATATAAAATTTAAAACCAGTAACACTTGGCACAGGTGATTGCCATAAGTCTGTATGCAAAAGTTGAAAAGGAAAATAAGAGACTCGACTCGAAGAATAAAATGGGAGGCGCACATGCTTTCCCAATTGACACGCATGACAAAGAGTTTGTTGATAATTTTTAAATAAAGGAAAAATAGAAGGGACACCACGCAGGACCGCAGGACTTGGATGGCCGAGGCGACGATGCCAGGTTTGATGATCTACGGATGAAACGTGAGCTTGAGCAGAGGTTGGATGGTCTACCGGGTAGAGAGGACCTGCATTATTGGACCGATGCATCACGGTCCCCGTCTGACGATCCTTCACAGAAAAATCATGAGCATCAAATTCAACAGTGCAGTCATTATCACGAGTGAGTTTGCGAACAGAGATAAGATTATGAGTAATATGGGGGAAAATTAGGATATTATTTAGAAGTGCTGGGGGGTGGTGGGAAGGGTGTGGCTACCAACCGCCGTAGTGCGAACCTTAGATCCATTACCAACAGTGATATAGTGAAGTGAATATAAACTTTGAGAAGAGACATGAGAAAGAGTACCTGGGTTTGAGGCAATGTGGTGTGTGGCATCGGTATCCATAAGCCATGTGGGTTCACGGAGGGACAGAGTATCAAATTGGTGGGCTAGGGCTGTGGGTGTGGGTGGGTAGGGGGGTGGGTAGGTGTAACACCTGCCTTCCGCGGACCCAGTTCACCCGCGACCCAACGGACCGGTAGGGTTACATGGGCGGTGTGAGAACCATCCGTTACAAAAACGTTAATGATTATTTAATAAGAAAACGGTTACGTTTAATTGATGGGATATTAATGACTATTTATTATGAAAACGTTTGTTTTACTTGGTGAAATCAATGTTAGGAGTTATTCCCAAAAACGTGACTGATATAAATGCAGAGTAAAAGCGGAAGTAAATAAATGAGTAAAACGACAAATGGTGGTTCATGCCCAAATGATTAATTAATTTAATGTGTTTAATCATTGAACTTGTCCATGTGCCGCCCATCTTCCCACCATCACTGTCCTCCAGGGTTAGCACCTGCACCGTCATGTCTACCTGCGTGTAGCAAAAACAACTACACGCTCAGCATAAGCTGAGGAGTGAATCTAACAAAAGAACATTAAGTGATAACCCAAATGGCTATACACATATTAATACCAGTACCTAACGTACGGAAAACCACATGTTACATTTTTGGGACTCCCTTTGGTCATGGCGACGTTCCTCTCCCCGGAACAAATATCCATCAATCTTTTTTGGAGACGGAGGAGTTGATTCGGTCCTCCAGTTTTGGGAAGGCCACTGTCCCCTCCTCCACCCGTCCCACTGCCATCCCCGGTCCATCAATTCAGGAGTCCGGGTCTTCCTCTTCTTCTCAAGTCCGCCACAAGAGGGGCCGGAACTCCACCCCTCTCCCCGGTTCTCTGGTGTCCGCCGGTCCTCCCATGGGGACCGCCGATGATGGGTTTCTCATTGGGCAAGGGAGTCAACTCTTTCCCTATGCCCGGGAGGCCTATCAGTTCACAGGATACACGTCTTGGGTAGGACGGGACTTCAACAACAAGCTTCAAGAAATACAACAGCTCAAGAGGGACCATCCTAACGTGGTCCACAGCCCGGCCTGGCCATTTATGCAGGAGGAGTACACTCGTATGGTCAGTGTCCTTTCCCTCCTTCATTCTAAGTATTTCACTTACTTCTTTATGCCTTTTAAGACCGCTAACTTTTGCTGCCTTCCTCTTTTGACAGGCCGATTATGTTGCCACTTCCTCTGCTCAGCTCCACTCGGACCGTGAGCGGCTTGCGGCCAAGGTCGGGCAACGTGACCTAAACCGGATTCACGACGCCAAGGAGATAGAATTCCTGAGGAGGGACTTGGAGCGGCAGGTCAGAGAGCGTGAATTGCAAGTTCGAGAGGAAGCAGAACTTCACCGAAGGAGATCAGAGGAGGAGCTGGAGCGAACGTGGCGTCGTCGATCCGAGGAGGAAGCGAGGAAGGCGGCGGAAGAGGTCGAGCAGAGGTGGCGCCTCCAACATGAAGAAACGGAACGTCAACTTTCTCAACTGGTCAACGAGCTAAACCTGACCCTTATGGAGGAGAGGCGTTCAGCTCGGAGTTCCCTTGATGAGGCCCGCCGCTCGCTCGAGAACGAGCGTCTCACATATGAGGGACATATGGCTCGGATGGAGGCGGATCGCATTTCAGACTATGGCCGGGGTTTCTATCGTGGAGGTTTGGAAGTCCAAGAAAAATTTTATCGTGGACTGGAGCCTTACTCTGATGGACTAGATCCTTGGCTGAAGTTTCCAGGCGTCCCAGGACCCATGGGACCAGAGCCTTCTTTCCTCCGTTCCTCTCCCTCGCCCTGAATTCTCAAGTCCTCATGTGTTCTTGTATTGGCTTTGTCACTTCTT